CATCATCATTAGTCATTAGAGAAATGCAAATTAAAACCACACTGAAATTCCATCTCACTCCAGAAAGAATGGCCAGGAACAAGAAAACTACCAACAACAAATACTGGTGAAGTTGTGGGGGGAAAGGAACTCTCCTGCCCTGTTGGTGGAAGTGTAGACTGGTGCAACCACTGTGGAGGTCAGTCTGAAAATTCCTCAAAAAACTGGGATGAGAAGTCTCATTTGACCCAGCTATTCTACTTCTAGGCATATTCCCAGAAGAACTGAAAACATCATAGCACAGTAATTTACATGCACCCATGTTTATCATAGCACACTTTGTAGTAGCCAGATCTCAGTAACAACCTGTTTCAGAAATCAACTGAGGAATGGATAAAAAAGATGTGGTATTTTTATACAATGTGTACTACTCAGCTATAAAGAATGACCACATTGAGATATTTATAAATAAATGGGTGCAACTTGAGACCATACTCATAAGCAAAATAAATCAAACTCACATGTATAAATACCATATAGTCTCCCTAGTGTAAGAAATGGTAAGAGTACATAAGATTTTATGGTAATCATGATTCCTCATTACATTCTTTTGAAGCCTTTTAATGTTTTCATTCATTAGTTGGAGTGGTTTTATTCTGCTTTGTTTTATTTTATTATTTGTGATGATATGAACAGCTATTTTGAAGAAAATAAGACATTATGGCAGCCATTCCTGATTTAATATCATCTTGCTTTGAAGTCTTACCATGCTTTTGTTCCTGCTTCCATTGGCTCTATGATGTTGTATCTTGTTGGACTTTAATATGTGTGATAGTATAAGCAAGTGTTTTATGGAAAATGAGATAATATAGTAGCCATTGTTCATTTTCTGTTATTTGGTTCTGAATGCCCTGTAATACTTTCATTCTCTTGAATGGTTTTATACTCTTTCGTTACATTTGATACTATCCTATGTGAAGGTATGCTCAAGTATTTCAAAGAAAGAGACATTATAGTAGCTAATATCTGGGTGTCTTGTGGTGAAGTGCTGTGTTGCTTTCATTTTTCTGCTCTGATCTGCTTTGTTCTGTCCTCTTTTCTCTTAATCTCTTTAAAATTTAAAATTTAAAAAATTGAACTACAGTGATATATATGTACCTATGTTTATAGCAGCACACTGTGTAACAGCTAAATATTGGAAATAATAGAAATGCCCAGCAACTGAGGGATAAAAAAGATGTGGTAGTGGAGAAATAGGATCAGATGCTAGAATATGATAACATGGAGAGGGCCAGACGAATGGCTAACAATGCTTATTAAGCAAGGTGGTAACTGAAGGGAAAAATAAAACTAGGAAGAGGAAGGAAAAGTACGGGTGGAGAGCTGAAGCCTGACACGCTCACTAAGACCCGTTCCATGCTGTACTAGGTGTGCCTGGAGTGTCCAAGGTCTCACTGAGACCGCAGCTGCTGATAATAGGAGTCAGCGAGTCCTGGGCCCTTAATGGGTGGACGTGGTGCAGTGAGCAGTGGATCCAAGGGGAAGAGCTATATTGACTCTCGGCAACTGCTGGAAATTAGGACCTAGGGCACTGTGAAGCAGCCAGAGCAACCTGGCTGCATCGGAGGCTCCTGGGCTCTGAAGCCAGACCCCACGCACTTTTCTGACCAATCTGCACTGTGCTGGGAGCGTAGTGAAGGCACAGTGTGCAGGGACTTAAGAGGAAGATCTGCATTGATTCCCAGTGAATGCTAGGGACTGGGTCCCATAGCTGCTGTCACTAGCTAGAGGACATCTTCGAATTGGGCAGAGCCTGGCACCACATCGGCGTCAGTGACACAGAGAAGACTGGTGGAGGACATCTTGGAGCTGGGCAGGGCCTGGCACTATGGTGATGTCAGATAGTCACCCCTGGCACAGAGAGGTCTGATGGAAGATGTCTTGGAATTGGGCAGAGCCTGGCACCATGGCAGCATCAGTGACACAGAGAGGACTGATGGAGGACATCTTGGAGTTGGGCAGAGCCTGGCACTGTGGTGACATCAGTCAGCCGCCCTTGGCACAGAGAGAACTAGCGGGATCTGCTAGGACTGAGCTACACCTTTGGTTGGGACCCAATAAGCAGATACAAAATTGTCATGACTCTGTGACAGCCACAAGGTACAGCCTAACTTGTGGATTGACTGGCACAGAGGCTTGAAGCTAGCCTGCACTGTCCCTGCATCCCTGCATGTCTGGGGAGGACAGCAAAAACTCCAGTAAGCACACTTCAGAAAGACCCTAAGCAATACAGAGAGGGCCAGAGACCCCCAGGACACAACAGTCTGAAAGAAACCAGAAGCATGACAAGATAGAAATAAAAAAAATATCCAGCTGCCAGCCCTGGGGATATAAGCCCAGGAGAAGTAAATACAGAAGAGAACCAGTGCAATAACCATCCAATACTAGACACAGCATCAGCAGATATAAAGAAATACCTTCATGACCTCATAGACGAATTTAAAACTACTGATCCAAGTGAGGCAAGATATAAAGAAGTTAATTAAAGAAATGATAAGCCCTTGCCAAGAGAACACAGATGGAAGAACGAAGGAAATCAGAAAAGAAAGAGAAACCTCTGATAAAGAATTTAAACATAACCTAGAATACACGAAACAGATCCAAACATTACCAGGAAACTAAAAATTCCATTGAAAACTGGCAAAATGCCTTGACAGAAACTAAAGTCAGCCTTTTGAAACTTGAAGAGAGATGTATCATGTATGATCATGAAAGAAAAGACCTCTTAAAAATAACATACCAGAAAGAAATAATTCAAAGGCTAGACGATGACAGAAGGATATATAAAATAAAGCACGTGAATGAGGAAGCAGGAATAACCAAAAATGAACTACAAAAAATATTCACAGATATACTAAAGGAAAACTTCCTAAACATAGGAAAAAGAAATGACATCCAGATAAATGAGGCATACAGAACTCTAGCCACCTACAACCAAAACAGATCTACACCCAGACATATAATAATCAAGATTCCAGAAATCCACCAAAAGAACAGATACTAAAAGCAGCCAGGGAAAAGAAACTCATTACGTATAATGGAAAAATTATCAAAATAACAACAGACTTATCAACACAAACTCTCAAATTGAGAAGAGCCTGGGGGGGAAATATTCCAAGCCCTGAAAGAAATTAATTTGCAACCAAGACTGATGTACCCAGTAAAACTTTCTCTCAAAATTAATGGAGAAATAAGATGTTTCCAAGTCAAGAAGGAACTGTGGGAGTTCATGGCCACCAACCCAACCCTCCAAAGAATGCTGAAGGACATTACAGAGAGAGGAGGAAGGGATACTAGGATTCCAGCAACAGTGGCAGAGAAGCCTCAATGAATGGGTCAGACAGTGGAATGAGGGAGTAAGTGGACAAATTATAGGAGTAAAGTGGAGTAGCAGACACGAGAAGCTATAACCTTTAATATAGATAGCCTTGCTACACTAAAATTAAAAAAAAAAAAACAGGCAAAGTAGATTAAGAGGCAGGCTCCATCGAGATGATCTGAATGAGAAATACACTCAACCCACAGGAGGGTTAATAAACTGAAAGTCAAAGATGAGAAAGCAAAGCTATATGTGACAGGAAACCAGAGAGAAATAGGGACAACTCATCCAGCAGCCGCAGATAGATTGGAAATCTATGACACTTTTGGGCAGTATAGAACTACACAACTGGAAGGAAGGAAATCCCTATGACTTTAGTGAGTAAGGGAGTACAGCTCAAGATCAAGCTCAGTGGTAGAAAGGTTCAGCAATACTCAGAGAGACAATGGGCTGTCCCCCTAATCTAAAAACTAAAGGGGCTAGTGAGACCCAAAACATACAAAGCATCCTGAGAAGGGGAAAGGTGAAAAATAGCCTAAAAAAATGAAGGTAGAGGTCATTGTTAATAGTGTATCAGGATTTAAAAGTCACAGTAGTCTTATCGCTCTGTTTAGTTTGAGTTTATTTTGTTCCGGTCTGTAAACCCATATCAGATTTGAGGGCACAGACATCTAACCCCAAAATAGCAGGTTATAGCATGGTAACTATCCTTAATTTCCTATTAACTTAAACTGAAAGCCTGTATTACTTACACTGTCTTACTATGACTGATCTTATTTGAATGTAGTTTGTTAGACCATGTTTTTGCCTTGGCTGATTTTATTCGAATTTGGTATGCTTGATAGTGTTAAGTCTAAAAGTAGAGGCAACTACTCTGAAGATGACAAGATGTAAAAGATATCTGTACCGGTTTTGATTATTAACCGCTCTCAAGTCCTACAATGTTTTCAAAGTTGTGCTTTTATAAAAATAGGTATGTATTACTATGCTTAACTGTATTAAGCCTGATGATGTGGACAGTCTATTAAAAATAACAAGAGAAAGCATAGTAATTATGGTAGATCACCTAATATTGTGGTCCTATGTGTCTTTTTCATTGCATGTTTTTCTAGGAATTTGTTTTGTTGTCTTGTTATGATCTGTTTTTCCCTATACTACGAGAGGTTAGATATACATGTAGAAATTCACACATGGGAAGAATTTTTTCAACTATTTATGAGAACAGATTATATAATGCAAGATGTAATGAACAGATACTCCGAAGAAGAGATACTAAGAAAACCAATGCTAATTCTGTAGCATTATGATATAAAATGTAGCAATACTATTATTCACTGTTCAGAGTGATATTAGTCTCGTCTCTTAAGTTCAATTTCAGCATACGTGAAGATAAGGACAGCTACTATGAAGAGAATGGGAGACACTATGGTGGTCATTATTGTCTTCCCCAATGTCACATCTTGAAGACCTAAAAAGCCTTCATTATCCTGTAATGATTTGATTAGTTCTATAATATGCAGTATGTATTCAATGTGTGTGAAGATGGGGACAACTATGTGGAAGAAACCTAGAGACAATAAGTGACCCGGCCTGCGGGTAAGGAAACAAGAGACACAAAGAGCAGAGACAAGATAAAGAAGTCCAATCAAGTCTCATTTATTCAAAGAATGAGTATCAAATATAGAGGGTATTGGGGAGGAGGGCTTGGGTTCTGAGACATCAGCAGGTAACTTAGCAACAGTGGCAAGAACAATGGTCATAGGTCAATTCAAATTTCCTGCACGCGGGCTCATAAGCATAATCCCTGAATAATGAGCCAGGCTAAACAAGCTGGGCAAGGTGCTGCTTAATTACCAAACTTAACTCCTAGAGGGAATTAAGGTGGTGCAGCCTGTAGATATAAGGTGGCAGCCAATTACAGGGCTTCCCATAGGTCCCCCTTTACTTTAAAATATAAGGGGCATATAAGAGGCTGCATCCTTGAGGAGACTGTGCCTGTCTTGGATCAGGGCACTTCCACAAAGGGCCAACCTAGCCTTACCCGCCATTGGAAGGCAGGGCAGCGAGAGGCCCAGTTCCTGTCTTAAGTGGAGGTTGGCATCCCATGTGAGGCCCAGTTACCCGTCTCTGGCTATCCAGTCTATCGCACCAAGGCAAGAGAAGTGGAGTGGGCAGCATGCTTTCACAAAGCATTATCATAATACAGTTTTGCAGGCTCCACATAATTTTCTCTGTCAGCCATTCTAAGCCTGTGATAATGGACCTGTAGGTTGCATTTTTATGGCATCCACCTGTTGTTTGACAAAAGCCATCAACTTATTTTCATAATCCCAAGAGACAGGATCCAGGCTGTCAGTTCCATCATCTAAAAAACAAAAGCTGCGAAAAAATTCTCTCAGGGGTCATTTTTCGTACCTGGAGTCATCTGTAACATTATCCTCTATTTGTTGTATTTGATCTATTTGTTTAACCAGTCATTCTGGCAGCCATCTCGCAGATTTCATCTCTTTAGAGTAAATGCATACTGATCCTCGTCCCCAGATAAGGACTGGGTCTGGACCATGTCATGAGTTAGTCAGAGGGTCTCTCCATGGTACAGAAGCAAATTGCTTTTGCTTCAGTATGCCAGAGATGAGTGGCTGCTGATTGTCCAGCAGCTTCCAAATTTAAAAAATTCAGGATGAATAAGGCATGAGATAGAATATTTTTAGGTGTTCCCCTTGTGGGGTACCTTTCCCCCTTTTTTATTTATTAACAGTGAGTTTTAGGGAGAGAGATGTGCCTTTCAACTATGCCTTGATCTTGAGGGTTATAAGGTATGCCTTTTATATGATGAACATTAAGATGTTGACAGAAATGGGCGAAGACAGAACTAGCATAGCCTGGACCATTATCAGTCTTTAATTGTTGTGGGCATCACCAAACTGATAAGGTAGTTAACATATGGCTAATAACATGTTTGGTAGCTTCGCCAGTCTGGGGAAAGGCATAGATGAAACCACTAAAGGTATCTATAGTTACATGAACATATTTAAGATTGCCAAACTCAGGAATGTGGGTGACATCCATTTGCCATAATGCATTGGGGACAAGTCCTCTAGGATTAACCCCAAAGTGTGAAACTGGGAGGTGCATGGCACAAGAGGGGCAATGTTTTACTATCGGTCTGGCTGGCTCTCTAGTGATCTTGTGCATAAGACAGAGGGTTTGGGCATTGAGATGGTGTAATTGAGGACTCTTTTGTGCTGAAGTAACATTGTCATCACGATCACTGGAGCTAACATTAGCTAAAGTACAAAGGAGAGCTTGCGGTCAAGTAGCCAGGTCTGCTGTAAGATTACCATTGGCCAGAGGTCCTGGTAACCCAGAGTGAGCACGTATATGTCCAATAAAAAAAGGGCAAGTTCTTTTTATAATAAGCACCTGTATTTGCCTAAACAGTTCTCCAGTGCTGGAGGCAGTTTTGATTTGGCCAGCTGTTTCTAGCCGGGGCACAGAGTGTGCAATATAAGCACTGTCAGTACATAAATTCACGGGCTGATTGGGAAATGCTGAAAGGGCTGCAGCGACAGCATGCAACTCTGTGATCTGGGCTGATGTATTGTTTGTTTGGGAGGATACAGTTTGGTTTTGAAAAACATAGGCTGTTAAAGCAGTTGAGGAGCCATCAGTAAATACCAACAAAGCATTTTTTAATGGTTCGAACTGTGTGATCACAGGGAAGATAAATGAATGCCAACTGGAAAATTCAATAAGTTTGTCTGGGAGATAATGGTTGTCAATAAGCCCTGTGTAGGAGGCAAGGGCAATGGGCCAGAATTCAGTTGTTTACATGAGCCAATCAATCTGTTTTTTGGTATAAGGCAGTACGATAATATCTGATTACTTAGCAAAATAACATTTTCCTTGTTCTCTTCCAAGAGAATGAGGGTAGATACAGCCTGATAATAGGGTTCAATGACCTTTTTAGGTGTTGCTGGCAAATGAATCCACATTAACGGTGCTGTCTGCCAGAAGACAGCAGTTGGAGAAAGAGTGGTCCTGCATATGATAAATTTCAAGGGTTTACCATAATCTATAAAAGTAATGGTCTGGTATTGAATGGCTTGCTCAACAGCATGTATTGCCTGTTTTCCTTCTGGAGAGAGTTTGCAAGGGGATGTAGGGTCAAGATTATCGTGTAAGATATCATAGGAGTTTTAATTCACTCTTACTAATTTTTAAGTAGGGCATGAGCCAGGTAATGTCCCCAAGAAGTTTTTGAAAATCATTTAAGGTCTGAAGTTTATCTAGCCTCAACTGTATATTTTGAGAAGAAATCTGAGGTCCCTTCATTTGAAAACCCAAATATGTATATGGGACAGTGAGTTAAACTTTGTCAGGGGCTATCTCAAGTCCTTTTTATCTTGTAAGGCAGCTTGTAATGCATCATAGCACCTCAAAACTTTTTCCCCATTATTTCCAGCTATCAGGATGTTATCCATATAATGAATGAGATATATTTCTGGCCAGTGGTCTCTTGTAGACTGTATTGCTGAAGCAACAAAAGACTGGCATAGGGCAGCACTGTTTGCCATGCCTTGTGGGAAAACCTGCCATTGGAATCTTTGCATGGGTGCTCTAAAATTAATAACTGGTAAACTAAAAGCAAAATGCCTTTGATCATCTGGATGTAGAGGGATAGTAAAAAAGCAATCCTTGAGATCTATGACAATTTAAAAATAGCCCAAAGGTATAGCAGCAGGTGAAGGGAGGCCTGGCCTCATCTAGCTTTAATATTGGATCAGGCCAGGGGGGTAAATTTAGAAATCATGCCTCTCAGCAGGGGTCACTGAGCAGGAGAAATCCCGGAGGAAACGCTGGGGTTAGTTTCACTTTTCATTTTAAATTTTGCTATTTTTAGCTTTTTTAATCGAGCTATTAAATCCTGATGTTCTTTTTTCAGTTTAATCTGTTGTCTTACAAGTTCAATTTGGTCTCTTAATTCCTTCCTAATATGGAAAGTTAAACATGCTGAAGCTGGCTATATGGCCATTACAGTATGGGGGAGGGGCGTGTGTGACTAAGGCCACACTAAGGGCTTTATCTGCACCAGCCACCTGGTGCGTGGCGAGGCTGCAGTATTAAGCCTGGAAGGGATTGGGTGCTAGCAGTTACTGGGTCGCTTTGCTCCCCGAGTTAAAGTTTATTAAGCCCTAATGGACAATTGCTTAATTTTTTTTCCTTTACCCTTTGCGTCTTTAAAGTCTTTCTTAAGCTTTTAACAAAAATATCATGTTGGCTCATTTCTTGTCCTAGTGGACACAATTGCTAAATTTTTTTTCCTTTACCCTTTGCATCTTTAAAGCTCTTCAAAACTTTCAACAAAAGTCTCATGCTGGCTAATTTCTTGTCCCGTAATCTCTGTTCACTTACCGAGGTTCAGCAGCATGGCAGGCTTCCACATCGGTCCTCTGTTTTCTTTTCCTTTTTCTACTTTGGGCCCACGAGCAGTGTCCCTCACTAAGTCCCCCATTCTCGGGTCCCACGTTGGGGCGCCACTTGACCCGGCCTGTGGGTAAGTCCATGGAGACCCTAGAGGGGGAGTGGGGATGAAAAGGAAACAAGAGACACAAAGAGCAGAGACAAGATGAAGAAGTCCAGTCAAGTCTCATTTATTCAAGGAATGAGTATCAAATATATAGGGTATTGGGGAGGAGGGATTTGGGTTCTGAGACATCAGCAGGTAACTTAGCAACAGTGGCAAGACTGAGGGATATAGGACAATTGAAATTTCCCACGTGTGGGCTCATAAGCATAATTCCTGAATAATGGGCCAGGCTAAACAAGCTGGGCAAAGTGCTGCTTAATTACCAAACTTAACTTCTAGAGGGAATTAAGGTGGTGCAGCCTGCAGATACAAGGTGGCAGCCAATTACAGGGTTTCCCACAAATAAGACAGTGAAGATCTCCAGTGGACTTGCTTTGAAATCTGTATTTCTTCAAATTTTTTCTTTATAAACTGTTTTGTTTTGTTTTGATGTGTTTAATCTTACCTTCTTTAAGATAAAAACAAGTATGTAGGACTGATAACTATATTACTAAGTTTTTGTTGGATCACTGTGCCAAACTATTGGCAATATCACTATTTTAATGTCATTTATATGCTTTAATTTTGTAACCTGAACAACTATTTCTAAGAGAATATGTAACTTATCACCTAGTGATTTTTTATTGTTTATTTTTCTGTAATTCTGTATTATTTCTACCCTTTTTCTCCATTTTTTTGTTTCTTTCTCTTTAAATAAAAAGAATTGTATTTTATATAGTGGAGTACTAGTCAGCCATAAACAATAATAAACTGGACACTTTTATAGGTAATGGATCCACCTTGAAAACATACTTATTAGTGAAATTAATAAGATGCACATGTAAACTTTGTATTGTTTCATTAGTGTGACAAGCTAAAAGAAAAAAATATATGTGTATATGTATATAAAAAGTGAAGGTAGTTATTACTGATTTCTCTGAGTTCACTGAAGGGAAATATTTGTACTGGTATTGTTTGGACAATTGAAGGAAGATATCTTGTGCTCTGCCTGACTGATTCAGGGATGACAATGCACAGTGTATGTACTGCTGTTATCCCCTGAGTGATATACTTTAAAATTTTGTTGTCATTTTTTTCTTTTTATTTATGAATCAAATGAATTTGAAAAAATAATAAAATAATGAGGCCTATAGAATTCAAAATAATCTCTTAGCTGTTCTTGAATCTATGTCAGTTATTGAGTAATTCCTGGCTGCATTTTGAAATGCATCATTGAATTTTTCTGTAATTATCCATGCCTCACAGTGCAAAAACTGATGCAAAGAGTTTCAGAAGTCAATCAAACTAGACATGGTTCATTCTATTCAGAGTAAAGACATTCCAGAGAATCTGGACACTGGGGCCCACCTCTGCAGGTTGGCTTGCAGGGTCAAACAGGCTTAATCACCCCAGGTACAACAATGTCCTCATCACTCTGCCATCTACATTGATCTCTGATCCTCCATGCTGAGAGGGTCCTCCGAGAGTTATACTCTAATAGAATAAAAAAAAAAATATTGGCAGTGGTAGCAGTCATGTCAGAGAATAGCACATTGCAAATGCTAAAAATCATGATATTTTAGCATTTGCAATGTGCTATTCTCTGAATACCTCTCAAAAAGAAGAATAAACTTGAGAGTTTATAGGTAAATGGTTGCAATTTTAGATCATACTCATAAGTGAAATAAATATGACTCATATGTGTAAACATTTTATTTTTTCCCTAGTATGAGAAGCTGACAGAGTAAATAAGACCCAACATGAACAATAGATTGTAAAAAAAAGGGAAAAACTATTCAAAAGGAAAGAGAAACTGGCATGGGGGAAAGAATAAAAGAATGAGAAAAGCTAAATGTATCCATATCTACCTCTATATCTGTATGTGTGTCTAAGAAAGAAAAGGTCTGTGCTAATATGTTTGGACAATTAAATGCCTACATCTTATATTGTGAGACAATAGAATGGAATGTATTAACCGTTGTTACTCTCCTATAACCTAGTTTTGAAATTTGCGTTACTTTTTTTAGTTTAAAATAAAATTTAAAAATTTATGCACTATTTTAGTTTGTCCTCTGTAATTTCATTTGGTTTGCTATTACATTTTCCTTCTCTGTGCTTACATTGTTGATCTGTTTTTGTTCGCTGTTTGCTTTGTCTCTTTATTCCTCTTCCAGTAATTGTAACAGCACTACCATGTCCTTTTCTAACGCTTTCTTTGTGTCTTCTAATTGCATTGCTTTGTCTATTAGTGTGCCTTATTTTCCTGCTGAATTGGGATTTTAAAAATGTGTTGGAGTGGGGTAGAACTGTTTAATAGTCCTATGATTAAGTTCCAGTTTGTTTTGTTTTAACTTTTATTCCCTTGGTATTTTTGGTCTGGTTTTTTACCTTTATTTTATAGGAAAAAAATAAAGCAAAGTTTCATAGCAAGCAGTAGGAAAATAACAATAATTAATATATTGTGTATTGGTATCTTTAGTTAATCAGAGTATCTTTAGTTAATCCGAATATAAGACATGGGCATAAAATATTCTCCAAAGGATATTAACACAAATCTTTCTTTTCAATGGACTAGGAGAAACTATAACTATCTTGAATTTTTGTTTTCTTTTCAATTGCCTCAGGGCTCAAGTTTCTTTGTGAGTCCATGGCACTGGACTCTAAAGTTTATCAGTGTTTGTGGGGACATCTTACCTTTCTCCTTCCCTTACCCCTGGAGATGGGTGTGTCCCTCACCCACATGGAAAACTAGAATGGTCTTTGGTTAGTGTTCCTTTCACTGCAGTCACTTGGTCTCTTGTAATACCTCCAGCAGGTAGGGCTGTGAGTAGCTACTTTCTCCCCAGGGCAGGTCTTGTTAGGAAGAATGGGACACTATACAATGGTCCCCCCCTCCTACTGGAAGCAATGGGAGACTTTACTGTGATGTTTCCTAGAGTTCTTATGCCAACTCTAAAGGCGTAAGAGTCATGCTATAACTGGTTCCTCTGAAGTTTTAAAGTCTTAATTTTAAGACTTCAACAATTTTCAGTTTCTGTTCACATCTCCCTCGCTTCTTAATGGATGTGCAGTTGTTCCTGAATGCAAGGCCCTGCTTCCAGGCAGCTGTGACTCAGGATTCTCACCTATCTATCTCTCAGGTCTTGGCTATTTTTTCAGCATCCCATTATGAAAAATATTTTCATTTGTTAACTATTTGGTAATATATATATTAAACCATCCAAAGTGTTGGATGTTGCCAAGTTTAGGGGAATTTTCTAAAACATAGCTTTAAAAAATGTTTTACTGTTGGCTCAGTAAATCTTGTGCTTTCTTTCTGAGGTTTACTCCAAGGTATTTTATCCCAACATACTTTATACTGTGTTATTGTTGTAATCATGCAAAAACTCAATTTCACAGTGAAAAAAAACGTGGTATTTTTCTGGGTAGAGATACTGTGTGTTAGCTCCTGACTACACTTGTACATTTAACACGTGGTGTAAAATCTTTCCAAAAATAAAACAAAACAAAAAACAATAACCAATGAACCAAACAAATGATCAAAAAATCCAAAACAAGAAGATAATTAGGATGTGAAGTAATTAAGATACAATAGTGTACAAAGAGCGTGGCTGAAAAACAACACCCTCTATACTAATAAAGCAAATCAGAATTTCATCAAAAGTCCTAATCAAAATGGAAAGTTTTACTCAGATGTTGAGAGTTCCTGTCAAACATGGGAACCACAAGCAAAACTTATGTTCTGGTAAAGGAAAGAGCCTGTCTTTCTGTTTCCACCTGCTGACTCACTCACTCTTACTTAGTGCCAAGCTGCTCCTGCATAGACTCTGGTTTCTGCTTAACCACAGAAATGAGCAGATGTTGTAGGAGAGAATCTACCGTCAACTGGGAAGAGGCAAAGCATAAAGCCATGACCTTTGTGCCGTCCTCAGCCTGTCCTCAGCCCTTGCCCACATCCCAGTTGTGTTGACTCAGACTTTCAGTTAGAATAGCTCTGTTCCTGTCTAGCATGGATTCTTGCTTCCGTGCTAATGTAAATTAAAGTGAAACAACAGCATGAACTTACAGGCAATAGATTTAATTGAGAAAAACAAGAAAATGGGAAGAGCTTCAGTTTGAGAGAAGAGGAACAACACAGCTCTGACAAAGATCACACTGCTCATTAATAAAATAATGAGACTAGTTTGTATGAGTTTGCTGAGGTGATCTAGAAGAGGTTGGTCATTTTCTCTGTTCTGGTTTTCAGCTCAAGAAATGTCCAAGGGTATTGGGGGCAATCACCTTCCCATGAGATGATTGTACCTGCTTTGGGATGTCACTCTCATCTCAGCTTTACAGTCTCTGCTGGAATCCAAGGAGAATGCAGATTCACAGCAATGCCTAGAGACTTCTAAGAACTCAATCCAGTGCGAAAAAACATTGAAAGGTGTAGGTTTCTCTGAATCTATTATCATTGTATTCTCAATGTTTAAGCAGAAATAAGAGAAATTGATTAAACTTTGGGTAATAAACCTTCTATTGTTACATTTCAACACACACTTAAGTTATTTGCATGCCCATATTCTTTATGAGGTTTGTGAGTTAAAGGGAGAGCTCTTCCTATATGTTGTCCAATGGTGGTCTGTGATTCTGTTTCAGTTTTCTTCCTGTTATCCACAGGATCCTGCTGCTAATAAATTGGCTTGCCATGGGCTCTACATACAACTCTCCTTGTGAAGGTGAAGGCCTGCTGTCCCCAAAGATGACTTCATGAAAATTATGAAAACCTGAGAAGTCAGAGAGATGCAACAATATACTATATACAAAAAACACATTTAGTTCAAAAAGAAATTCATAGAATGAAAGTTAAAGAATAGAAAACAATACTCCATGCAGCAGGAACCTAGAAAAATGCAGGGTCGCCATTCTGTTTGCAGACAATGTGAACTTCAAACCAAAAATGATGAAAAGAGATAAACAACTGCATACTTTTTTGTGGAAAAGTTCAAGAGAAAAATCTAGCAGT